GTCGCGGAAGGCTTGCCTCTCTCTCTCTCTCTCTCTCTCATTCTCTTTTTAAAAAAATCTTTCCTTTCTTTTTCAGTAGGGGTGACAGACATGTACAGCTCCTGGCGCAAGGCAGCCGAGCAGCACCTCTGCCAAGCCCTCTTTGGGTACCACCACACGTCTGTTCCTGTGCATGTCGGGGCCATTCAGGGTCAAGGTGAGGATTTTTTTTCGGATGCCCGGGCCAAAATCCTCCAAGCAGTTTCTCCAAATCAGCGAACCTCCTCTGGAATTTAGCTCCGACTCTCGAAGGTGGTGGGTCCTGTCCCCCAAAACAAGCTGAGCCGCTTGGAGGCTGCCTTTAAAGTTCACGTGGAAACCCCAAGCGGATGCACCGCACCGCAATGTCGCTGACCAGGAAGCTCTGCTGAGCACCCTGGACGCATTTGCAGAGTTGGACCACAGAAGAACCTTCTTCTCTTTCCAGATCTCACTTTCAAGGAGAACGAACATCTTTTTTTTATATAAAGAATGTTTTTTTTCTTTTTCTTTTTTCATTTTTATAAAAGGAAAAATCGCTGCAGTGCCAGGCAGCCTCAGAGATGGCATTTATAATAGCTGTCTCCGTTATCTGTATGAATTTACTTGTAACTAACAAACAGAGAATCCCCTTGACAGACACTCAGAACAATACCAGCTCTGCTAATTGCGGCAATTTGCTCTGTCATTTCCTTTAATTCCTTCATTTTTCCTCTCTTGAAATAACCCCACGGGTCAGACAGAATGCTCCTATAATTAAAAGCATTTAATGTAAGAATTAGAAAGCTGCCAGGATTACTGGGAAAGGAAACGGGGGTGGGAGGAGGGAGAGAAGTAGGGGGGGAATATAATCTCCCCCTCCCCAAAACTTTGCAAGTTTCCCACTTTTAAACCCATAAAGCAGCCACCCACCCCCCAAAAAAGAGAAAGATAAGAAGTTTGAAAACACAAGCATCCTTTTGCAACACAGCCTAAAACTTCTGAAAGAGGGAGGGCAAGGTGAGAACATTTGAACTGCTGAAATTTGTGTGCCCTCTGAGATCCTTGACCTGTATGACATGTACATTCACACAGCCACCTGGGATTCCTCCACACTTCGGGCGTCTTGATATTAACCTGGGAAGTAGCTCCTGGGAGGCCCGAGGACACAGTGGCCCATAGGATGACCCCACCCTCGGCAGGTTCTTCTTAGTGGTGGCCACCAAGTTGGGGCACTCCCTTCCACCAGAGCAGAGGCTGTCCCCCAACACACCTGCCATTCAAGCGCACATCAGAACCACATCTATTTCCCACAGCTTTCAGTGAACAACGGAGTGGTGATTCTTTGTACTTCTTTAATTGTATTTTTAGCAAACAACTATAATTTGTGCTTTTAATAGCTTTGTAATGTTAATGGTGGCCAGCGTGTGACAAGTCTTTTAATAATCCTTTTTAACAAGCAATTACAATCGCTGACCGCTGGAATGGGTGGACCCCTCTAAAGCCAGAGAGAGGGAAATGCCATCTCCAGACCTCTGGAAATCGGCTGCCCTTGGTTTAAACTGTAGACAAAAGCACTGTAACTCTTGGAAGCCATTTAGTGAACTAGCTGCCACTCTTTAGAAACAAAAATTAGAAAAGGCTGTGTGGTTCTTACATGATGCAGATGCAGGAGCAGGCAATACCTTTGTTAAATAATAATCATGTGTCATCAAAGCAATGCTGACTTGTGGCAACCGTTTTCAGGGTTTTGCAGGTCGAGACACCCAATCGCCTTTGGTTTAAACGGTTGACAGAAGTACCCTAACTCTTGGAAGTCATTTTGGAGAACTAACTACCAACTATTCAGAATTTCTTTTTTGGAAAAGGCGGCGTGGTCCTTGCATGATGCAGATGCAAGAGCAGGTGATGATGCCTTTATCAAATAATAATCATGTGCTCTCAAGACGATTCTGACTTTGGGTGACCCTTTAAAGAGTTTTCCAAGTACAGATGGGGTTTCCCATTCCCTTCTTTTCGGGGGGCAGTGGGTCAGTGTGCAGCTGGCCCAAGGCCACCCAGGCTGGCTCTTCTCCTCCCACAAGGCACAAAGTGTATTTGTTTATTTATTTATTAGATTTCTATCCTGCCCATCTAGACCAAGGGTCTGAGCATGTTTTAGGAAGCTGTGCATAACCTACTTTGTTCTCAGCAGCTTCTCGAGATCTAACTCGCACAAGCTTTTTGTTTTATACAATTCATTTGTTATGATTTTGTCATGAGGGGCATAGCACCGACTCTGCCAGCTGGAATTTGGTTTCTAGTGTCCGTCGTTTTCCTGTTGGTGGATAAAGCAGGTTATAGGTTGAACTCAAGCACAAAGTGGTGCAATGGACATAAATCTACAGAGCCATGAGATCTAGCAACTTGCTCATCGCGTTATGTCCAAATAACTGACAAATACCTCTACACAATCATGAGGTCTATGA